GCCGCGACCTTTACCGCCTTAGAGAACGATATAGGTCGTTGAACCGTCATATTTCTTACCGACGACCGCCTCGTCCTTAATTCGGGGCTGGAACAGTTTATTTCCAGCCTTGTCAAAAGCGAGAACTGGTAATGATGTATAAAACTGACAATACAATAACTTCATGAACTGTTATATTAGCACTGCCATCAATTATTTTCAGTTATCTTAGTTTTACATTAACCGTAATGTTGAATTATTTCCAAAAATATTTGACACTGTTTAAATTCTCAAACGTTCCCGAAAGTTGGAATTTTCTATTGTGAAAACCGAAATAAAGTAGGGGTTTGAAAAACCTAAATCGACTTGGAATATGTTCTTAAAGTCCCTTTCAAAAATTTATATACCAAATTTATTGTTTGGTTTAGTATTGTATCATTTCTATCTATATTTTACAACTATAGTTTTTCTGACACATTATTAAGTTTTTATTTTTAAATTTTAACCGACTGATTAGTTTTCGCTTTCTATTGAAGTGAAATCTCGCTTTTAGCTAACCTGACGTGGGTCGATTGACAAATTTTATTGTTAATATTTTATTTAGATTCTCTATCCTTTTGCACGCTAATGATAAAAGAGAAATTCAAATTTTAAATTTTTTCATACATTAAAAAAATATCTATTATTCATTAATTTGAGGCATTTACATTCTGTGCGATTTGGTTTTACGATTGGTGAGTTAACGTACGAAGTTGGATAGTTTCCGTTCATTTTGGTCCGTCTAGCCTCGCTATGTTACACATCGGATAGGAGTACGGATAGAATAATCACTGTGCAGATACTACCGGTAAGAGGAGGAAACCACAGAACACATTCTATGTTTCTGTAAAGGTTGCACCTAGGACAAGAAAACCCGCAAGCAAGATCCTACACTAAGGAGCCGCTGGCAAAGCTATGGAAGCTGATAACAACCTGAAGCTGGCCTGTTAGTTATAAAAAACAGGGTAGCACAATTGGTCTATTCAGGTCGAGGTGCAGTAGGCCTTGTGGCGCCTCTTTTATCCCTATCCCTATCCTCGCTAAGTTGGTAGTATCAGGATGTTATCGGTTCGCGGACCAAAATGTTCGGAGCGACCAAATTATTTACTATTCAAGATGTTTGTAAGATGTTAACTGAGGTTATCTCGAAAAGAGAAATGTCCAGTAAGATCGTTAACGCCCCTTTCTTTTCTTAGCATGTTAAACGTTAATTTTTCGTCAATGCTGCGCGTGGTGATTGGCAGAACCAAAAATAAAGCTATAACAGTCCTAGAAGGCTTGTTGGTTGATTTGATTTTCTTTTGTGTTAAATTTTAAGATGCCAGAAGCTAATAAAAAAGGAAAATTAATTAATTTTTTCATTCAAAATGATATCTTTGCACTTGAAAAGTACTAATAAATTACACGCTTCAATTCGTGCCGACATACCTAACTTGTATCCTAAGGTCTAACAGCATACAACTTCATAGAAGAGGGTACGTATGAATGAGAGTATAAGGACAGGGCAGAAATTAACAAAAGAAATGTATTGGCCTGATTTAATTAATTTGTATTTAAGAATAAAAATGCGTGTAAACAAAAAACAGCTGTTAAATTCATGGCTGCCATGTTGGTTACCCCTAACGGATAGCAATGTGACTACATTTTCGACCTAACATCTAACTTCACTATTTTTCGTGGTCCGCTTGACCAATTAATATCATACAATTACTTAAGGTTTTAAGTTGAGATAAAAAAGTCAGTGTCAAGAGGGGGATTCGAACACACGACCTTCGGCTTGATACGCTGCTACTCTACCACTTGAGCTATAGTGACACTGACTTTTTTATCTCAACTTAAAACCTTAATTAATTGTATGATATTAATTGGTCAAGCGGACCACGAAAAATGGTGAACTTAATGAAGTATACTTCACTGAGCTCTCCTTGGCCATTTCATTTGTCGCCGAGAATCAAATAGATTTCACGACATCTGTGCATAAAAAAAGAAAATATAATTTGAAAGGAGTTTCTTTTTCACGTCATTTTTCCTATAATTTGTTATTCCAAACTTTATAAAAATTTTAGTTACTGGATGAAACATTATTAATAAATCAATTAAGGTTTTTAGTTGAGATAAAAAAGTCAGTGTCACGAGCGGGATTCGAACCCACGACCTTCGTCTAAACACGCCGCTGCTTTGAAAAATGACAAAAAGGAGGGAAAATTCAAAAGGTCCGGTTGAGATGGGAAGTTAGTGCCCGAGGGGATCGGAGTCACGATAGCTCAAGTGGTAGAGTAGCGGCGTATCAAGCCGAAGGTCGTGGGTTCGAATCCCACTCGTGACACTGACTTTTTTATCTCAACTTAAAACCTTGGCCCAGGCCTGTTAGATCGAGCAATGTTAACTAGCCGAAGTCTACGTCATCATTTTTATTGATATAACAAGACCTAATAGAGTAAACAGGGTTAACACAAAGATCGTGAATACCCCTGTTATAAATTTACGGACCCAAATGTTCTAGTGACCAAATTATTTACAATTCAAGAAGTTTATTTTGCATGAATGATCGCAAAATCACAACCATTGCTTGAAACATAATTTTTATAAACAGCATACAATTATAATGTCATAGGGCTTAGAATAAAACTATAGCTCGAGGTTTAACTTATGCGTTGGGAATCGTCCAAAAAGAACTTTCAAGCCTAGTTTTTCTCTTTTTTTTCCAGTGATATCTAGCTTTTCAAAGGTTTCTCCTTCAAGGATTTCTTTTATGGAACTAAATTTCACTCCGCGTTTTACGACGTCGAAAGCCTGACGGTTTGAATAAGCAATTCGATCGTTCGAACGTCTGCCGAATGTAGATTTCTTAAGGCGCTCTGTTTGCCATTCCGAGGCGGCCTTCCTTGTTTTACAAGCCGTCAACTTTTCAAATAGAATCGTATTTCGAGGCGTGTTTCCGCATGAATATACGCAAATTCGTCCCATTAGGAATCGTCCGGTGAAAGACGTTTACTTTCTAACGACTTCTAGGTAAGGGGCGTGATGCGAGGCCGTGTTTGAGGTTTAAGCCTCTTACCTGTCGATCTAATTGTCACTAAAGCACAAAATTGGTGAAGGTGTGAAACTTGACAGAAAAACGACAATGTGTAAAAGTCCCTTGGGTACCTCGCCGGCACAATTAGCCTTCACGTGCTACGGATTTAAAGGCAAATCAGACAGCATGGTGCCAGAGTCACTTTTTTATTTTTTCCCCATTATATTTCTCTTACCAGTCAATTCCAACAAGTAGACTGCTCCTATTAAACATGCTGAAATGAACCGAACAGTTTTAATATAAAACCGATAAAGTAATACTCATAAAAGACAAAATTCATTTTTAAACGACACAACACTTACTTAGACTGTACAACTTGGAATAAAGTCTCAGACTAGTCAAACCAGCGAAACTAGGCGACTCAGAATAATGAGAGCAATCGAACTGCTTTCAACTGCTTGGATATTTGCACACTAACCACATTGAATACAATAATATTCGTTGATAAAAATTTTATGGTAATGATTTCTCGACAAAAAATACAGCTCGAATAGTAGGGGTATACACGATTTTTGTTAGATGTTAACTCGTGTTAACTCGGGTCGAGATATATCCAGTAAGATTAAGAAGTCCCCTTTTTTTTCTTAGCATGTTAAATGTCCATTTTTCCGCAATGCTGAGCGTGGTGACTGGTGGAACCAAAAATAAAGTTATAACAGTCCTTAAAGGCTTGCTGTTCGTTATGGTTTTATTTTGTGTTAAATTGTAAGATGCAAAAAGTTAGAAAACAAAGAAAATTTCTATGCACTCGAAAAGTAATAACAAATGACACGCTTCAATTCGTGCAGACATAATTATACCTAAGTTGTATCATAAAGGCTAACAGTAACTAGTAAACTTTTGGGCCAAAGCCCGCGCAGGGGCCCCTTATGCAGTGAAAGGTTGCTCGATGTGTCCCACATAATAGAGGCGTGTCATGCCTTGGCTCCATACAGAGAGCGTGTAAGCATGCCGCCGGACTTAAGAAGAGTTGTCGAGCATGGTAGCGAGTTTCAGAGTCCCCTGTTCCGCTTTTTAGGAGAAATTGGTTTTTTTTTTATTGTATATAGTATGATTTATGTGTTGTGTGTCTATATGTTTTGTCTGAGTGCATGTATTTATTAGCGTGAATATCGAGGGGTGAGGGTGAAATATAACGTCATCATCACCCCTCGAACGATGAGAAAAGTACTCCATCGACCCCAATCTAGATTAGTTTGAATATAGGATCGGTACTCCACCGACCAAACGGAATGAGTGTACTGTATGGATGAATTTATGTGTATGAATGTATTTATTTGTATGAATGTAGTCTTTGAAAGGGTAAATAGAATATAGACATAGCTGGGCCTGAAATAACCTAGATGTCAGAAGCCCCAATCAAAAAAAAAAAAAGTAACAAGTAAACTTTATCGGATGTATCCACTATGAATGAGAATAGGGGTTCAGGTCAAAAGTTAAGAAAAGAAATGTATTGGTGTGATTTAATTAATGCTTATTTAAAAATAAAAATATGTATACAAAAAAACAGCAGTTAAATTCTTAGCCACCATGTTTGTTACCTACGCCCTAACGGCTAACAATGTGACTAGACGGTTAATCAATTCGACTTAACATCTAACACCTGCCCAACTTTGTTAGATCGGGCATTGTTAACTAGCCTATTCTAACAGGTGTACGTTATCATTTTTCTAGATCTAACACGACTTAACAGAATTAACACAAAGATCATGAATACCCCTAGTATTATAAACAGAAATGAAGTTCTTATGCTCAATTTAACACAAACTGGCTGCTAAAATTGGGGAAACGTCTAAACAAGTCTGACAGAATTATGGAGGATTGACACACTTGGATGTTTAGAAACGACCTATAAACTGCAGGATTATCACTAAATCATCTCAGTAAAATTATTCGATGTACATACCTGCTGAATACTACTATACTTCAACTACCGTGAGAATTCTCTTTTTGGTATTCTGGGTGATGAACTTGTAGTTCAATCGTTTCCCGACTTTCTAGTCAGCCTATCCTAGCTGTTTTGTCCTTCCGACATCGTTTCGTGGTTTCGTCAATCTTCCTTGGTCTGGGCGTTATTTTGTAGGATGTGTCCTTTTTTACTTACCACATTGTTCTCAATGTTACAAATTGTAAATAGCTTCAAAATTTCTAAGAAATCGGTTTTATATATAGGAATTTTTAGGCAATTTAATGTGGCTAAGGCGGTGACATATCAATATTGCTTACTGCGCCGAACCATCCGAAAAAGACAAGATCCCGGACCAATAATTCGTCCAATGTCGTCCTAAGGAGCAGAGTCGACGCTGGGAGAACCTAATACCAACGGAAGACAAGATCTGCGGGAAATCCATCATCTATTCTTTTATTCAGTATCTTCCAAAAGGGCAAGGCCGAAGTCAAAATTCTTCTGTTTTCTGAAGAGTCCTGTTCGACCAAATTCAGTTTTCAGTATAAGGTCACTACTGTCATACCCTGCTATATACATACCTTCTCAATCATGAGCGATCCGCCGTTTGATCGGGGCGACCAAATTAGACTTACATACTCGGAAAGACAGCAAACAAGTGATTGGTAGAGGATTTTAATGGCAAATATATCTATAAAATCAATCGTTTGCTATTTAATGAAATCCAAGTTTTTAAATGTTTTTTTTTTTTTTGGAACAGCTGCAAACTGGGCACAAAAATTTCGCTTCTTACTAAAAATAACCCCAAGGTTTGAGAACGAATCAACGTCGCTAATGATATGACCATTGAATGTGTAAGCAAGAAAGTCAAGTTCATTCGCGACCTTTTGTTGGAAAATTGTATAACTACACTTATTTTCATTTAATTTAAAATTATTATTGTGCTCAAATGAGGAACAATTTATCTGCATTGATGGCCACAAGAGCGTTTGATCACATAACATTCAACCAATACAGGCAATATCAAATTATTGCAAAAATTGATTGGTCATGAGTTCGAACCTACCTTATCAGCTATTATTTCTCGAATTCACAATATGTTACAAAAATGATTTTTGTTAGACTTGATTTTGATTTCAGATTAACAATAAGTATTAATCCATGTTTAGTGGTCTAATTGACCCAACTAGTTATTTCAATTGAGGTATTGGTTGAGATGAAAAAGTTAGCGTTACGAGCGGGATTCGAACCCACGATATTTGAAACATGGCAAAAAGACAGAAAATTCGATAGGTTGTAGGTTGAGATTGGGAGTTGGCGTCCGGGCGGATCGAAGTCACGATAGCTCAAGTGGTTAGAGCAGCGGCTTATTAGCCTAAGGTCGTGGGTTCGAATCCCGCTCGTGCCATTGACTTTTTGTATCTCAACTAAAAACCTTAATTAATTGTAATATATTAATTGATCAAGCGGACCACAAAATTAGTGAATTATATGTAAGGTCTTGGTTGAAATGAAAAAGCCGAAGGTCGTGGGTTCGAATCCGCTCGTGACACTAGATTTTTCATTTCAACATTATATACAAAAGACTTATAATAATGTTTGTTACCGATTACCTTCTATTTACTAAAGTTTTAGACTCTGGCTTTATTATATAGTTATGTTATTATTTATCGTACTAATTACATTTTTGAACGATGGACGGTGTAATTTTATAATTGTTTTAATTGCAACAACTGCAGGAAATATCTGCAAGCAATTAGAATAGCTTACAAAATGACCTCGCGAGATGGTATTCAAATAATCAACTCAGGGCTATTTAGAAGAGTTATGTAGGATCAATATTTGTTAAAATAAAACAACGTTTGTATTCCATGATTTCGCCACGCAATTCTATTTTAATTGGACAATAAACAAAATAGGGTCTGGATTTGTTTTCTTATTACGTTTTAGGAACTGGAAAATCTTCTTGAAGGAAACATGTTCGAGCCGCAGGATAAATGATGTCCTGTCCATTAAAACAGTAATCATTCCACGGTAAGAAAGTGAGCAAATTAAAGTGAACCGAGACAAAATCCACTCTCATTATGAAAATCGCTGTTCAGGTTCCTTAAAGCGGTTTTCGTGTAAAATAATCCTGAAGAGTATAAAACTCAATTTACACCGCCGCCGTCGGATGTCTCAAGAAAGCCGGCTCACTTTCAGATGGATGTCGCGATATATCGCAAAGCTTTTATCCTCGTTTGTCGTCGGCGGGCATGCGTCAGTTTTCATTTTGATATTGTATCAAAAAGAATCGGCAGACCTGACGTCGTAGGCGAGGCGCATTTCGAGCCGGTTTCCTCAATGGCCCCCTCCTTTTATTTCTAGTAAATAAATTCTTGGGTTCTTCTTCTTTTTATTTAATGCGTATTGCCGCCGTGTCATAAGAGAATTCAAGGGCGTCATTTCCCTTCAGACAATCTGACGACCGCCAAGCATCTTTGTTCTATTCATTAGCGTCGTGCCGTGATGCGATATGCCGCGAAAAACGCCATTCGTAATTCGTGGGTGTGGTGGAAATCCAGGGGCACACCTCTTCTTACTCCTAGGTTTTCTTGGATTTATTTCTTTTATACTTGCGTGATCGTAACAACGCCAATCGCTTATTGCGTCGATGTGGCCCAACTTTTGTTTATATTTATCAAACCTGACCGTCAACATCTCAAGACAACAACTTAAGGAATGACATTGAAATTAAACAGTTTCAGTTTTAGAAACCTGCTGTTATTTTTGTATCCAAATCTACTTTGATTATAACTTGATTGACCAACATTTATATCACTGATACTCAAGAAATTCTCATTACCTGTATATAAGGAATAGTCCAGACTAGTATAAGCAATTGTTTAGGGATTATTAGAGCTCTAGAAACTTGTACATAAAATATTGTATAAACAATTGAAAAGGGGCTAAAAATTAATAAAAAAATAAACTAGTATTTATAAAGATCCTTATGGTTGTACTGTGCTTGCTTTGTGACAATTGATTTATTTTACTGAACAGACAGCCAAGAAAGGAAGATGAATGAAATGAGCTGATTGTTGATACAAAAAATGCCCTAATGGTCGGTTGTACCAATCATGGCAATAAGCTTTTGAGCATATCTCAAATTGGAAGTCATTTTCGAATTTTATTTCATTCGCATTGATTTATTTGACTTAACAGCCAAAAAATGAAATGAATCAAATAAGCTGATGGTTGATTAAAAAAATCCACTAATGGTCTGTTGTACCAACCATGGGAATAAGCTATTGAGCATATCTCAAATTGGAAGTCATTTTCGAATTTTATTTCAGTGGCATTGATTTATTCGCGTCAACAGCAAAGAAAGGAAGATGAATGAAATGAGCTGATTGTTGATACAAAAAATGCACTAATGGTCGGTTGTACCAATCATGGCAATGAGCTATTGACATAGCTTAAATTTGAAATGCGAGCTCGTTTTAGAATTTTATTTCATTCACATTCATTTATTTTTCTTAGCTACGAAGAGATGAATGATAAATGTGGTGGAAATGATGGTACCAATAATTTCAAGTTTTTGCCAGACCTTAAATTTGAATGACGGAGCGGGTTTCTAACCATTTTACTAGGGCGTAGTACACTGATTTGAAACTTTGCTAATTACTAGAGTAAAATATCAGGGAAAAAATTATATTTAGACAACCATTGAGATTTTATCATATCCAGTTAATTCCACCAACCGTTACAGCAAATGGGTTTGTTATACTTTCGAAAGCAGCACCCTTTTTATTTTTACTTTATTAATCACTACTTCTAACAAGTTTCTTCTTCGTATAGATTAGATTGAAATAGTCTTTACATTCTACGTGATGTTTATAAACACGTCCAGATTTGTCAGATTTATTCCTGTGTTCTGCGGTAACTATCAAACAATACGTCTAGATTTGTTTTCTATTTGAAAGGGAATTAAGGAAAAGCTATTTTTGATTAACAAAACTTATGAAAGAAGCAGGAAAAAATTTTAAAAAGTTTTCAAATTATAAACAAAATGAAAAGATTATTCGTATTCTCATGGTAATTTCAAAAAGTTGTGCTTAAGCCACAACATAATCTAGTTTGTCAGGTCATTTTGAACAGGTGTAGGGCTTCCCCAATAGTTTTGATGTAAAGTCGAGTTAAATTGAAGTCAAAAACAACTTTTCTTCCATTCAAGTCTTGTATCGAATCAATGAAAAATTACTTTGAGTTGTTTGCTTTATTGTATCTATAAATATTATCGGACAGGAATAAACTGACCCTTATTAACGTTTTCATTAATTTAATGATAGTGCACTTCTATGATGTTTGTATTCCAGAAACCGTCAATATCTGAATTTAAGTACTTACGTTATTTTTCAGTTAAATTGGACTGGATTTATAACCGACTCCGTGTGATGCCAACTGTTAGGTCAATTCAGCACTCGACGCATGCAGTTCTTAGGTCCAAACCCATTATCACTCTCATTCTCTCTTAAATATATTCTTTCTTATTAAATACCATTCACTCGTGGTGGAGTAGTCGATATTCCTCCATCCTAATTCCCTCCCCATTGAGGGTCGATGTGGCTAACTCAACATACTGCCATTATCAGCCACCTTTCACTACGCATTCACTCTAATAAATACATTCACACTCATCACACGTTAGACATATAACATTATCAGTACTATATGTAATAAAACAACCTTGCTTACTCCAAAAATCATAAATGGGAACTCAAAGATACGCTGCCGTGGTAGAGCACAATTTTTATATTGGTCGGTATTCGTACTCGCTCCCTATATAGAGCCAAGGAATGACTCCCACCAATTACTTGGGACACATTGAGCTACCTTTCTCTGTATTTTTCAGTTCAAAATGAATGATTGATTGTTTTTGCATGGGCATTTATAAAAACTATTCAATTACTTAAATCACGACATAACCGAATGATCAGATTAAACACCTAATTAATAATAATTTATTTATTTATTGAATACATTTTCAGCTACATAAGTAAGGCATTTTTTATCAAGTCGGGTTCAAAATCATACCAAATTTATATTTAAATTTTTTTTTTAAATATAAAATTGTATAAATTCGGACAAGAAATATGAACATTACCAACATAAATCCTTAGAATTCATGGACCGATTGACCGAATAACTTCTTATAGGTATTGGTTGAGATAAAAAAGTCAGTGCGGGATTCGAACCCAGGACATTCGGCTAAATTCGCCTCTGCTTTACCACGTTTCGATAAGGGCTCAATAAAGATCGATACGTTGGCACGATAAAGAAATTTTTTTTGTAAAACCTAAGTCATACCAGACCGCATCTCACAATGTCCAAATAATCATTGACTAACGGTCACTAAACACCACACATTAGCGGTACCAACATTTAAATTTTAAAAGATCTGTACAGGTAAAACATAAACTACTAAACAACATATTTAACTGTTTTGTTATGTTATCCTAGTTGGTATTGTTAAAAGGTAAAGCGGCATTGAACAGCGCAGATACTAGACGTCAGAGTTAGTTATTACCTAGACATTTACGTGCTGTTGTACTTAATTTAAGAGCTTCTGTACTTAAAGGTACACCGGAGCGCCTTCCGGCTCCAGTGATGTTATTTCTTCCAAGGACTTCCTATAAATTCCAGAACTCTTGGGCGAAGAGTTTGTTTTCGTTCGCGGGACTAAAATTCCAATGGCGTTACCT